GTTTGAGGACCAACAACTCCAGTCATGTATCAAAAGCATAAAAGATGCCATCAACAAGACAAACACAGGAAAGAGTGATAATGTGAAGATATTTGTTGAAGATATTTGTAAAGAACTTGGTGATAAACTGGTAATTTCCAAAGATGCTCTTGGTGCTTTCATGTTTTTGAACAATGCTGACAAGAAACAGTTTGCTGACTGGCTCACAGTGTCTGTGAATGAGATGGAACAAGTTCTGAGAAAAGAGTTTCAGACACTGAACGTTGAAGTGAAACTACAGCAGCTCCATGTGCAGCCTGAGAATGAGCTTTTCAACAAACTGGTTGGTTGTGGCAAACAGTGTCCATTCTGCAAAGTTGTCTGTGATGGAGGAGGAGGAGAACATACTGAGCATTTTGCTGCAGTGCATAGGCCACAGGGTCTGGGTAAATACACTTGGCATGTAACAAAGAAACTTGTCACTGACATATGCTCTTCCTCTGTCATCAGTGAGCAGTGTTTTAGCTGCATTGATACAAATGGTAGATGGCACCCTTACAAGAATTACAATGAAATTTACCCAGACTGGAAAATCCCTCCAGATTCGAGCCTTGAGGCATCAGACTACTGGAAATATGTAATGGCAAAGTATAACACAGATCTTGCCAAAGAATATAATGCAAACCCTGCTGATATTCCTGAAAGTTGGAATGACATCACAAAAGAGCAGGCAGAAAAAAGCCTCAAGAAATCATTTAACATCAAGTAACAACTTACCTTCTCATTTTTGTTCTTGTGTACAGAAGAACACATCCCAGATATTGTAATTTTTGTTTTTGTGAGATAGAGAGAAAAACTAGTATTTCATAAGACAAACCTTAAAATATTTTAACACCCACATACATATTAAACAATATGATTTAAAGCAAGTTTTTTAAAGAAGTTTTTGGTTACTTTTACCTCTGTTTGAAAAATAATCTGCTCACAGGTTTTTTGCACTTTTAAGTAATTAATTCAAGTAATTATATTAAAACTAAATTTTTTTTTAACACTAATCATTAGCTCATGTACATTCGCACATGCATATGAACATCCCTTTGCTTTGTTTCAGATAGTCACTATGTGTGTTATAGATGACTCGGTCTCCATTCTTTTAATAGGACAGTCAAAATGAAAAAGCTAACAGTGCTGTATCTGGGGGATCTGATGTAAAATATTTTCATGTTTGAGGTTTTTGAAGCAAATCTGAGTATATGCTAAATATTTGACTTTGTTATTCTGTATTTAAAATTATCTTTTCCTGCTCTGACATATGTAATCTTATATGTATCTATATGTATTTTTTAAACGTTTTAATGGAACATTCATTCTATATCTGGCATGATCTGCAGAGTTAAACTTCGGTCAGTGTTAAGTTAAAATGACCTCAGTGATGTGGATTTAAAATTGTCTTTCTGTCCATAGAATGTTAATCAACAGGTCTTGAAATTATGCTAGTGATGTATTATTGCCTTCATTTTTAATGTGTTGGGAGAATT